ACACCAGCCATCGTATGCCGGCCGTGAAAGCCTTCGACAATACAATAAGCAATCTATTAGGGCAATTTGTAATCCTACCTCATTACGGCTCCAAGTATTTATGTTCAAGTTGTTTGAACATATAATCTTAAAATTCTGTTTCCCATAAGTGACTGAAAATGTTACTGAGTTTATGGTTCTAAACTTACTTGAAGAACATGGGCAATTTTCTCAATGGCAGGACGTAAATAATGAAATCCCCCAAGAAACAGGGTTTGGAATGGCGCTTTTAACTTGTTCATAAATCATCCTGACTTAGGGGCAAGCGCTGAGTTCCCAAGTTTGTGGATGACTTCAAACTATTCAAAGTGGCAAAAAACCAAAACTGATTGTGAAGAACTTTAGAAGGATCTTTTTAAACAGAGTGAATGGTCAACCAAATAGCAAATATGGTTCAATTTAAGTAAGTACAAAGTGATCCACATTGTGGCAAACATTGTATCTTCACATATGACTGTTGGGATCTGAAATGTCTCTAATTAACAAACAAAAAAAAACGATGTCAGGGTTTTAGTGGACAGCACAGTGAAGATGGTGATGCAGCTATGAAAAAGGCAAGTTCTATGGTAGGGCATCTTAGGAAACATTGTGATGCTCTTATGCAAATGTAGGGTATGTCCACATCTGGAAATATTGTATATAATTCTGATGACTACATTTGAAGAAGGTATAGTAAAGATTGAAAAAGTGCAGAAGAAAACAACTACAATGACCAGGGGCTTCAAGCACCTTCATATGGGAAGAGGCTAGGATGTTTGGGACCTCTTAGCTTGATAAAAAAAGTAATTGAGGGAGAACTGAAGTATATAAAATCATAAATTGGCAAGGAGAAAATAGTCAAGGAGAAGTTGTTCCCTCTAGTTGGGAGAAGCCTGCTCCTAAATACCAGCTCCAGGACGACAACAGTTGGAGAGGGACATATCTGCATCTCCTATTTGTGAACATCACAAAGGTCTTTGGCTGGCCACAGTAAGAAGAGAAATGCTGGACTAAGATGGTCCTGGTCCTTATCCAGCTGGGCTATTCTTAACTTATTTTGCTTTTAAGTAAGCTCTATTTTAAAATTATTTTTAAACAGCCAAAAGGAGTGAGGATGCAGCTTATTGAGGTAGTAAATCTGTGCATGTAAAGCTGGAAACAAACTCTACTGATGGAGAGAAATAAATAGCTGGGCTATTACACCGCTGCATAATCAGATTTTTAAAAAAACACCATATAGTAGTATCAAAGATGAAAACCCCTTCTAGTGTAGGAAAAATGGCAAACACAACAGCCAGGATGAGACATACCAAAAGATTATGACATAGCCAGAGCAAACATTACTACTTAAAATACACATAAAAGCACCCACAGAGATAATGATCCTTAGCTTGTCATATTGAACATATTGCTACTATGGATTTTGGATTATTTATTTAATGAAGCACTAATTTATTTAATGAAGCACTAATTTTAACATGGAAGCCAACAAATCAACTTTCTGGAGCAGTGTTTCTCAACCTTGACAACTGTAAGCTGTGTGGACTCCACTTCCACTCCCAGAATTCCTCAGCCAGCATGTTCTTAATTAGGATATGATGTGAGATTCAGAGGTCCATACTAACAGCAACAGCACTGAAGCCACTCCTGTAAATAAAATGGTATGTTGGGAGGAGGGAGAACTAGTGAAAAGTGATTTTCACTAGTTGGCTCCATTTAATGCAAAAGGGCTTCTTAAGGAAATACGTGCATATGTGATTTGTGTACTCATTTTTGGCTCCTCCTATACCTTCTCCCATTTTTTTAGGCTGTCTGATGCACTTCCCTTGTCTTTCTTTTACAGAATCCCAGCCATGATGTTGCATTTAATTGATTTAGGCCGCAATCCGATGTATTCCAACCAGAAAACCCAACATGGTTTGTTTCTAAAATTGTACTATTAATCTGCTTTCACTTACCCCAAATGTCTTGCACCACAAGTACAGAAGTCGCTGCCACTTTAAAGTTTACATTTTTCTGCAAAGATGTAACATCTTTACGTAAACCTATCATTAGAGAAATAAAAAGTCTGAGAGCATTCCTGCCCCTGCTGTGCAACTGCATGCAAGTGCATATAAT